CTTTGTAAACCGATTAATATCCTTGCTTGTTTTACTTACGATAGGACTTGGTCTGCTTGGTACTGACTTACTCATCTTCTTACTAGCATCATATCTTTTTGATCAATAAAATTTCCATTAAAGCTATTTTTGTACACGATAGAATTAAATCTGAAGAGTAGATGAAGTATGAGTAGAATGATAAGGAAAGAGAAAGGGATAATAGACTTCACACATAAGGTACTGAGCAATACTGTGTAGAAAATATTAGTAAAAATTTGCAAAGATGGCTGAAACGCATTTTTTTTTTGTTTAATACATTAATTCAGTTTTCATTATTATATGTAAAAAAATACTATGGTTTCATTCATACCAATACAAGTGAACATAAAATAAACACATATTTATTAATGTTATAAGTGCTATATAATGTTGTAAGTCGAATAATGCTTATTCGATCAGATTCGAAGAGCTTGACAAAAATATTGTATACTATTCTAGTACTCTCATATTATTGCATTATTCTTTTTGTGAGTTTTTTGTGAGCTCAATTCTTTTTCTTGAACTTAAGATTTTAAAACATATTAAATTAAATAATTTAAATTTAATTTATCTAAGCTGTCCCATTTGCGGGAGAATACGGCAGCGCTTTGTCATTAAATTTGAGAAAACCTAGTTTACAAATTAAAGGAGCCCTTTGGTTAAATGATCAGATCTCTAATGGCATAAGTTGGTAGATTTAATTTTAATATTAAATTATTTATTAATATTATTGACTGAATTAATAAAATTAATTTTTAATAATTTTTTATTAAAATTAAACTATGAACAAAATCAAAATGAAATTGAAACCATTAGAAATCCTTTGATGTTTTCAAATCAAACAAACAAGCTCATTATCTCTAGCAATGTTGCTCCATTACACAAAAATTCAACCATTAGAAGCAAACATTCAAATTACTAATAAAAATAAAATACTAGTAACTCATATGGGTTTCAGAAATTAAATTCTCCCTAATAAAAATATTTAAAAGTTTTTGCTCAGGCACAACAGCACAAATTTGTACTCGTAACAATCACATTTTAAGGACTTCATCAAATAATTGAGTACGTCTATACATATTCATACATATGCAACAACAAAAAACACACCTGAGATACAAATGTTTGAAAATTTTCTAAAAATAAATAATCAAAGTATCTGGATAAATAGCAACACAAAAAAAAATTGCTTACAGCTCATTGCACACATTTCCACATATAAGGATAATAACCATAAAGTGCCAATATGTGTGAGTGTGTGTATTGGTGAGTTTTGAGTCAAACTCCCTCCAAATCACAGCATGTATTTCTATTTGTATCCATGATGTGTCTTTTTGTGTGTTGTTTTTCTGGTTTATTGGGCTAATTCAATAACCAACAAAGCCAAAACTGCTACCGCAAAAGCATGTGTACCAGACACAATGCGAATAGAGCAACAACATCAACACCAACACACAGACTGCAATCCTGTACAAAAACAATATAAATATCTTTACCTACTTTAGATGCATAAGGGATACTTTTGCCTAAAATATGGGCACATAGCCCACAGGATTTCCGTTTTAGATCATCACTTTCTCTGCATTGTTGTGCAAAATAAAATTTGCAATAAAAAACCGAAAACGTTTTCATAGATATTTCACACTCAATCAGATAACTTTGCGGCAACAAAAGGAATTTCATATAGGCGATGGCTGCATCCTTTGACAATGATATTCACATCGTGTGCTTAATGACTAAATTTAGTTTTGATGCTTTAAAATTTGTATCTTTCAATTTAATTTAAATTAAAATAAAAAGATTAAGTTTATAGACAATATATTTTTCCTAGATATGTTGTAATGTATTTGTCACTTTAATTAGTAAAAATAAATATAAGAAAATTTATAACATATTGTAATTACACACTCTGCTTAGTTTTATTTATAAAATTAAATAATTTACAATATTTACTTGCGATACTTTCATAGCTCACTGTACTTTTAATGTTTGCGTTCTTAGATATTTTTATATATTCTTCAATTTACGAGTATATGTAGATCAGAAAGCTTCAATAGCGTTGTCATTTCATTTATAATTTAACTGTCTCTGTTTACTTTACTTATACACTTCTTGACACCTAATCAAGTAAAAGAATGGAAGGAAGAGAAGTGTCAAGAATCGGTTTAAAGGTCAGGCAAAAACGTGTTGGATATGGTTTTAAAAAAGATATCGTAAAAGTTTCAAATTGGATATATATTTATTGAGGAAATTGGCTAGAGATATCAATTATATTTTCAAGGCGTAAGGTGATCATTATGATCATATTAAAGGGCAACAGACCTCGTTGAAATGAGTAGATGATAACATAAGAGATATGGAGAGTCAGTACATAATACTTATAATTGTATAAGGTTAAGTGACTCGCATTCCATACCTTTGGAACCATGCTTGGCAACTTTTTTTAAAACTTGATCCTATTTTAATTTACTTGGATTTAAAGATTTAAGGCCTCCTCTGATAGAAGCAATAAAGACAGGTGTAAAATGTATAGTGCCTTCAGTTTGTTTTTGTAACGATGTCAAAACATTTTCATTACTTTTAATTATTTAAATCTAGGACCACTATTATTGAGCAAATGGGTACTTTTCTTATGCTGTGATTCTTAGCATCATATTTTATTTCTGAAGTGAAGTTATTTATATATATACGTTTTTTATCATTACCTTGTCCACAAGATACAACTAGATAATAAGTTAACCTCCATATTATAATATATTTAAGACTGACAATCCGAAATTATTGCAAATGGACCCCCAACACTTGATACCAACTATTTGCTGCTATTAGCAATAAATATCGTTTTTTGTGGATTCGTTATCCTATCGATACTCGTCTCTCGTTGAGTATCAGCATCATTTGTAAATTAACACAATGGCAAGAGTTAACTGTCGTTTAAGCCATTTAACCGAAACAACGATTAATCTACAAAAACATAAACAACATAACGGACTATGATATGCGCCATTTGAAGACTATACACATGGAGGCAATAAAAAATAAGGACTTAAACAGACAAAGGAAACATATATTTGGAACAAAAAATGGTACAATTTCAGGCGAGGCGCAGCTGAAATAAAAGTGTATGCCAGTCGTCGATTGTATGCAAATGTGACTCTGACCGAGCGATTTCCATTAATCCCGGGGTACGCAGCAATAAAATATGCAACCCATTCTCCGAACGGATGACAGTCGTAGTCGGATATACTAACAGCATTGAAAAAGCAATGGTGGCCATTAAACAAGATTTTGGCCATTTGAAATTTATGAGCAATTGACAATGCGAAGTCAACTGCAAATGGAGCTGGAAATCGGCACTTCCGCTCATGGAAACTGTTACCATGTATGAGTATCAACTAAATGAATGTATGTACGATAAATAAAAGTTTAATATTTGGACAGATCGATTCCAATATTAAAGTCAAATTTTTAGTTAATAAATGAAATTTAATTGGGAAATTATATGCTAAATTTATTTGTGCTAATTTGAAATCTTAAAAATTTTTTAAGGAAATAAAGAAAACAAAGAAAAGACAACTAAAATCCATTACCAACTTCTTAATACCACCAAAAATGTATATAAAACGTTAAAAGGACATGTCCGGGTTCCTAGAGCTCTTACACAAGTTTATATGCAATAGCATTAATACCGGAAATATTTAAATAGCAAAACATAAGCGGAAATAACAAAATAAGCAAATTGTCTGGCAAAATAAAAATTATTTCCGCGGAAAAAATCTCAAAAAACAGTATATTTACATTTTTCCTTCCAAACACTCTAACATTTGACTTGGGTCAGATTTTCCTCTTGAGTTTGTTTGTTTTTAAATTTATTTACCACTTTGGGTATTGCATCGAACTTTGAATACTTCACTTTCTTATAAGAAGCTCTAAGGAACCTGTTGACTTTCTGAATTTTTATTTAAAAATGTTGACTTTTCCTTAAAAAATATCCTCCTTTTTTTACCGACTTCAGCAATAAATTATGCAGGATTAAACGGCATTAAAAAAACGCAAAATTATATTCATCGTTTAACAAGTGTTTGTGAAGAGGCTGTAAACACATTCAATATCCTGTTGCATGTGTACCACGAGGGGAAGCGACTCCGCAAGGATACTTTACATAAAATGCTTGATTTACGGTGCCATTGACCAGTTGGCCATATTTTCCTTTTGTGGTACTTTAATTCGTAATTATGCTTCAAATTATTTATTGATAATGATGAAGTGGAAAATTAATGTGGCCTAATGGATGTAAATGGATAAGGTTCTTATAAAATATTTATTTTAATTGAATAAAATTTGGCTTTTGATTTATTTTAAAAAGGAATAAAACGCATATAGGGACTCAAATTTTCTTTTGTTTTCGCTTTTTGTTGATTAAATATTATTTTAATATATTATCTATGCAAGTCTGAAATAAATAGATAAGAAAAAAAAATCAGAACAACACCTTTCAGACGCATTATTTGAAGCTGTCCGGATTTGATATGTGACAAAAAGAATATATTAGACTGAAGCTTTCATTCCTATCTAGTATTTGAAAATATTAATTATCAACGAAAGATATTCTGACTATTTGATATGATTAAATTCTAATATAATTTAAATATAAATATTTATTTTATTTGCGTATTCTACTCTACAATGGTAAGACCTTAATACTTAGTTCTCTGTGGTCTGCCATGGAAGGATTAAAAAACATAGATTTTATAAATATATAATATTATATAAAAGGAAATATATCTTACACAAATATAATATATATTATTATAGGAAGTTTTGTTAAAAAATAAAGAAAAATCATATAAAGACTGTTTTAAGAACGTATAGTACTAATACTCAATACCTTCTGCTCAAAAAGCACGTTAAGTTAAGTTGTTAACTACTCCTTAATTAATAGACCTTTTTCAAAAAAAAAATTTTATTTTCGAACACAGGCATACGAGTGGTATAAATCATTCAAAGAGGGTCGTGAAGTGATCGAAGATTTGCTTTGTTCTGGACGTCCATCAACATCAAATACCGAAGAAAACATGGCAAGAACCAAGAATATTGTGCTGGAAGATCGTCATATGACTGAAAAGGAGATTGCTCGTGACTTAAACATATCAAATGGATCCATTCACCACATTCTACATTATATATTGGGCATGAGACGCGTTGCTGCTCGACTTGTACCGAAACGCATCATAACAGATGATGAGACATGGGTTTATGAGTATGACGTCGAAACCAATCAACAATCGAGCGAATGGCGCTCCGAAAACGAGTCAAAACCCAAAAAATGTCGCAAAAGTCGCTCGAAAATTAAAGTTATGCTCACTGTTTTTTTCGACTACCGCGGTATTGTTCATTACGAACTTTTGCCAGAGGGTCATACTATCAATAAAGAATATTACCTCGGCGTTATGTGGCATTTGCGTGAGTCTATCCGTAAGAAAAGACCAGATTTGTGGAAAGCCAACAATTGGATTCTTTACCACGACAATGCTCCATCGCACACGGCTGTTGTTGTACGCGATTTTTTGACCAAACACGGCACGAATGTCATCGCTCAGGCACCATATTCGCCAGATCCGGCGCCATGCGATTTTTTCCAGTTCCCGAAACTGAAATTGTCCCTTCGTGGTAAGCGTTTTGAGTCGATTGAATCGGTAAAAGAGAATTCGCTGAAGGAACTAAAAGCCATACCTGCACGAGCCTACGAAAAGTGTATAGAAGATTGGGTTAAGCATTGGCATATGTGTATCGCTTCAGAAAGAGCATAATTTGAAGGAGATGAAATAAATTTGGAATAAAATTTAAATTTGTGTGTTTTATTTACAAAATCCGGGTTCTTTTTGAGCAGAAGGTACTTCATAGGATTACAAATTTTGAAGATGGATAAGTTAAGCTTTTAGTTCACAAGGTCAATATTTATATAAATGAAATAAATTTTGATAGTTTCTAATTGCTAATTGCTATTCCCTTGCTATTTTCTCATATCTTTAATTATTTGAATTATTTTGATTTCGCATTCTTACTGTAAAAAACTTTCATCTAATTGAAGTTAGTTTTAAATTCATAGCATTTTAATGAATTATTTTTTTCAGTGTTAAGATTTTTTCTTTATATATGTTTTTTATTCCGAATCCCATTAACAAAGAAGTACCAGTTGTAAACCGTTTAATGCAAAAAAGGCTCAATTACACTCTTACGAGTGAATCCTTTATCATACAAAAAAGAAACCGAAAACATCTCTGCCATTTTGTTAAATCGTGAAAGTATCGAGCCCCAAAAGACGACATAATAGCCTAACAATATTTTCCTCTTATTCCACTGACCCAGAATTTCCACAACGCTGGTTGTAATGAGTTCCTATCTTGTAAGCATAGTTTTTAATAGTGTGCTAGTATCAACATCAATTCGAACCTCTGTTTTTATGTAATTGTAAATAGATCATGTCAAGCATTTGGTTTGGTATGAGTACTCCTCGTGCTACTATTAATCTACCTTTATAAAGTTTTCTGTTCGGAAAGCCAGATCAACTAATAGTAAAACAATATCCAACTCTGGTTATTTGTTATAAGGAGTCCTACGAGTACAACACTTTTATCCAATACATTAGCACAACAACTGCAAGAAATGTAACTAAAGACCGTAACCAGCAAAATGTGTCTGACATTCCGATGCAAATTTAAATGTTGCTAGGAACAGGAAGGTAGTACATAAAAATATAAATATTAACTAACAACCTGTTTTGCTCAAATACGTTCAATTTTTTAATTATGATTATAGAAATAAAGTGAAGTAAATAATTGATATTTGTAAATTCTCCATAATAATGACGTGCTATTAAGCTACCTACAATATTTACTAAGGGGAAATGTTCCATATAAATTTATTACTTATTCCACAACTGAAGAGTAGTAAGAAACATCACATTCACCAGATAAACATAAACATATGCATTTTAATTTCTATAACTTTTCCATATCGCATTTCTCGACTAATGTGTGCTTAGCATGCGAACTGCCAAGTCACTTATCATTACGTATACTTGGCTATGTATATACGCGCATCGTAACGTAAGCTACGTAAGTGATAAAGCGAACTGTAAATATAATAAAGACGCCACAATACGCTTTTCACTATTTGAATGGAAACTAATGCCAACTCCGACTTCTGCTCTGATGTTGGATGATATCAACAATATATCCTTATGTGCATAAAGGAAACACAAACACATATGCCGGTGACTTTCCCCCGGGAAATATGTTGCTCCTTGCCTGGAGCATAAATCCTAAACGAGTAGTTTTTATTTACTTCACCAAATTAATGCTTAAGCTTCACGCAAAAATGTTGCCAAAAACAAGTCGACTATGAAGTTTACTAGGAAACATTACCGGTAAGGTAAGAACCATGCACACACAGAAACATACGGACAGACATACATATAAGTGATTTAATTATGAGTGGCATCTATGGCGGCAGAGGTACACTCAAGCCCACACCAACGTCAAGGCAAGGTGTTAGACTGTTGATAATGCTCGCTTTTGCTTTAAAGAAGACGCTTGTCTGTTTGCTATCTTGTCAAACTGACAGTTCACTTAAGTGGCAAACAAATTTCTTAATTGTCAACTTTAAGCGTTTGTTGGTCTGAGTGCGAGTACGTTCACATTTAATTTCTTTTGGCGTGAAAGTTTAGAAAACTAACAACTTCTGCTTTGCGGCTTTGAGGACTGTATATCCCCCACCTACCGAAGGCACGAAATCTATTTCTTCGACATTAATGTGGCTTCCTCAGTTAATTTTCATACAAATAGTTTTCATAATAAAACTGATTTACCAAACTTCTTTGACATTTAAATGTCAAACAGAGAAACTTGATGCGTGAATGGGTCTCATTCATTTGCTCTCATAACTTATGCCCCTTTCCGATTTCTTTAAGTTAAGTCGGTAAAGATGTTGCAAACTTTTCTGAAAGGTATCCATTAGTTGGTGTCTGTTTCATAAATTATTTACATTCGTCGAGAAGTTTTACTACAGATAAAATATTTTATTTTCGGTAACTAAAACTGTACGAAATATTTAAGTCTAATTTATTCCTGGAACTGATAAGCACAACTTTCCTTTCACTCGAGTGAGTCTGCATAACAGTTAACGAGAGGCGTCTTGTCAAAAAAGTAGTTAAACGCAACTACCGTACAGCCTCACTCCACTGGCACTTCTGTTAATGCTTGTATAATTTAACGCCAGTTTAAATTTTAATTGTTTAAATGAAAATGTCGTTTTACTGTCGCTTCCGCTTCCGTCGTTCAACCTTTTATGTTCGTTGTACTTAGTATTTTTTTTAAATTTTACTTTTAATTGTTGTTGTTATTTTAAATTCTATGGCACAACAGTATGTAAATTAAGTTCCTCTGTAATCGACTGAACCCCCAATCTTCTTCCATTACCCCATAGCACTGCTGCTGTAATTTGTTACAAATAATTATCATAACCTGATTAACATGAGCGGTTTTGAGATGCTCTAGAACGTGCCCAGGAAACGGAAATAGTCGCTGGTGTTGTGTTTGGTGCCTTTGCTGAAATCTTTCCCATCTTCCATTATTGTCAGAGCTATCTCGTTTGTTACTTGTTTTAAAACTTTTAACTCGTTTTTTATGCATGTTAATTTCGTACTTACAATCTTAGTTGCAATCGCACATACTCACAGCACCGAAGTCATAACATCACCTCTTATTTATGCAAACTGAAGTTTCTGAGAATTTTCAAAAACAAGGGGCGGCATTTTTTACTTTTTTTGTGACTGTGGATATGTTGTTTGCATAATTAAGAAAATGTTTTAAATACTTAACAATTTTTTTTTAATTTATGCGTATAATTAAGATTAATGCTAACAACTGCAAGTCTCAAAAGTTTAAAATCTTTCTAAAATAAGAATTATTTTATAAATAAACAGAAACAGCCTAGAGATCATGAGAAAAAAATCCATCTGATAAAATATGTTGCATTATGTATGTAATGTAGCGAAAGATAGAAATTGGAAGTTTAGTAGAGTAAAGTTTTGTGCAAGTCATTTATGATTAACATTTATGTCATTTATGATCACACCAAATTTTTTTCAACAATAAATTTGAACATACCTACAATTATAAAACGTGTTGGAATTCATATCGTGAGTTAATAGAAGAACAATTAGTTAAGAACAGAAAAGGAAATAAATAATGCAATAATCAATTTCAATACTCTACTATTATCTCCACCATCTGCATCTACAACAATAACTAAAACCAAAAATGTAATACCTGTCCCAAATCACATCAAACATAAAGAAAGTTGAAAAAAATCTGGCAAGTATTTAGAGCTCTTCAAATGAGGACAAAGTTAAACAAATTAACAAAAGAACTGAAAGAATATTAGAGACTGAAAGACAAAAAATGTACAAAACTTTATCTCAAGATTGAGTGCTACGTTAAAATTAAGAAAATTAAGAAGATAACAATTGCTGAAATAAAAACTATCATTGCCGTTAACATCAACCCAAAAAAATCACCAGGCTATGATGAAATAACTGGTAACTTCCTTCTAGAATTGCCTGTAATAGCAATCATTTACATTAGAAACATCTTTAACTGCATGATTAGCAAAAAAATTTTCCCTTCTGTCTGGAAAGTAGCGAAGGTTGCAGCAGTACAGAAACCAAGCAAAAATGCTTATAACTCTTATTATCAACTCTTATTACCCATCTTATCTAAACTATTTGAAAATCTTCTTTTCTCCCGACTGGAACCAATAATACGAGAAAACAACATATTGCCAAATCACTAATTTGGATTTCGTAAAAAGCATTCTACAATTCAGCAAAATCATCAGGTGGCTAGCAAAATTGCTATGAATATCGAAGATCACTGTGGGTGTGTTTTTAGACGTAGCTAAAACATTCGACAGCGTCTGACACGAAGGATTGCTTTATAAACTATCAAGAATATTGCCAGCTGATTTTTAATTACTACTAAAGAGTTACCTTAAAAATAGATACTTCTTTGTGCAATATCAAAACGGCACATCACACATGATATAAATAGAAGCTGATGTCCCTCAAAGGAGTGTATTTGGCCCCAATCTATATCTATTATACACTGCAGATATTCCTAAGCCGAAAAGTGGAAAAATACTAACTGTAACGTTTGCTGAGAACACTGAATTTTTATCAACAAACCATGACATCACAAAAGCAACTGCAAAACCTTCAAAATCACTTCAAAACGAAGTGATGCATTGGTCTGACACCTGGAGGATAAAGATAAACGCCGAAAAACTGTCCAAGTTATTTTCACCAACAGGAAATTTGAAGAACAGAAACTGAAAATTATTAGCATTGATATACCAATCTGCAAGAAAGCCAAATACTTGGGCATGCTATTAGACCGAAAACTGAATTAGAAGGA